ACATAATTATATCGTAACACATGAAAAAAATAACAAGAAGAAATTTTTTCATGATCATATGAGTTTGCCGGATAACAATGTTATTTTGGAGATCAAGTATTGAAATTTAACGCAAATTTGATTTTTGTTCTCCCTTGAACAACATTTACTTAAAAATATTGAGCCACGTAGTGAAAATATTGGTTTGTTTTTGTGATAACTACGGTTACCATTTGTTCTATTCAAAATATTTAATTCTTTCAATTACCATTTCACTGATAGGAATATTAAAGCGTACTAACGGTTGGCAATTATAATTAGTAATCAACAGATACAATCAGAAAAAAGATTAATCAGCATATTTGCTAATAAAATAAATAAATAGTAATATGTATATTGATTAAAACTCTATTAAAAGTTGATTTAAAACTATTTGACTTTTTAATTGTTTACTTATTTTTGCTAATTTATAGCTTAATATCAATATTAATTCTTTTAAATTTAATAAATAAATTAAAATTAGTAAATCAATTTACAGCGCTTTTCAAATTACTGTGATCAGTGATTTTCATACATCACACCGGAAATCAGAAATCTAGAATAAATGCAAATCTTTGATTGGCTAAAAATATTTTTTATCCAATCATTTTTGATTCCCGGTGTGATGTATGAAAATCACTGATCACAGTAATTTGAAAAGTGCTGTAAAAGAATTCAATACTGCCATATATCTGGCACTAATTAACATTGATTTAAGTCATAAAATTAGCAGCAATAAGCAAATAATTAAATATTCAAGTAGTTCTTGCCAAATTTTAATGAATATACTTATAATTATATGATTAAATTTTGTATATTATCAGCAAATATGCTGATTAAACTTTTTTGCTACTTGTGTGATATTAAATATTAATTTTACGTACGATGATGCCAGTGAATAACTTAATTGATATGGACTATTAAAACCTGACTCGTCGTATTTCTACCAACTCTCTTATATCATATCTAAAAGATTCTTTATACCTTGTTGCCTAATTTCATCCTTTGTAGCACGACTCAACCAATGTGCACCAGCCCTAGAGTGTACTCAAATATTAATATCTAAATACTTAGATATTAAATTTAAAAATTTACATACCAAAGACTAGTGTATTCTCCAGATAAATCTCCTGGAAAATATTTCGCAATTAGGTGAACTTTAATTCCTTTTTCTTGCTGCAAAAGCAAAGTAGCCGTAGTTAATCCTGAAACACCTGCAATTTTAGTGGTTATTTAAAAAAAATTACAAATAATAAAGCAGCGAACCTCTCTAGGTTCGTCTTTCTAAGTGCACACCCTCTCTAAATGCACACTCAAATTCTGGATCAAATATATACATGACCTCCATAAATACATTTTTTCTAAGTGCAGGTTGTTAAAGTCTGGTCTCGAGAACGTGCATTTAGAGAGGTTTCACTGTAATAATAATAATAATAATAAAAGATATTTCATACCTGCCCCAAGTACAACGATGCGTTTGTTTAACATGATTGTAGAAGGCGAGAGCATTTTTACCTTTTTTTTTATTAAATAATTTTTTTTAGAATTGAACAGTGGTTCCACAATATCGATATTACTGTTATACGACTGAATAATCACTTACCGCTTTAAAAGCAATTTGCGTTAGGAATTTTAATTGAGATGCGTGTTCGTACTCCGGCAGAGTAACCTTAACACCACACCACATACCGGAGTACACTTTTACAGTAGTACTACAATGAGTTTTAAGTTAAATATAACTCAGAGCATTAAACATATATACTTCAAAGTATAACTCTGAGTGTATACACAGTATAACTCGAAGTACTGTTACAATCTTCGGGTAAACTTTGTTCAGCCTACATATGAAATAGAATCTGTGATCTGTTGATCCGTGATCAACCATATCTAAATACGTATCTGAATATCCGGACAAACTCATTGATCATTCATAGAATATCCAAATACTTTATCTAATAAATAATTGTTTTTACAGTAGAAATGTCAAAAAGCGCAATATGTTTCTTGTCGAAAATAATCTTCATTTAGAATTATGAATATATTCGAATTATTTATAGCATATACGTATATTTATTTTTGAATAATTTCTTTAAAAATACATCTAATTACATTTATATTTTGTATGCTAGTATTTTTCTTCATTAGTAATGTTCCAGTAATTTTATCAGCATATTAAGAACTGTTTTTTTTTTTATTTCGTTTTCATCATCCGAAGCTAATTTTTCAAGCCAATCATCATATGCGTTAAGTAACCCAAATCAATTATTGATTCACTAATATTCGCTATTTCAACATTATAATCTGGGTTCCAGAAGCAATCTGAACGCAACCCTAAGTATCAAACATACGGCCATCAAAAGGCTTTGCCCGGTTTACATTTTTGCCATAATAATACCAAACACATAAATATCTGCTGCTTATGTAAGCAGCTGTCTGCCTAAGGAGCAATATAAAGCATAACATTAAAAATGTCGCCTTCTAAAACACACTCATCTTTCTTTCTAGACAATCCTAGCTCTGCAATATATGATAGTACTTTCATTGGTGTGATGGTATTGTAAATTGTTACCACTCCCTATAAAAATGTCGATCCGTATTTATATTCCATGTTTTTTCCATAAATGTTGCATATTCACGGAGCTTATAACCAGATTATTCGGCTTGTCTAGATTCTGTCGATCATGTTGCAAATTTTCAATAAATATGGAAAAATGATGAAGTTATTCGGATAAAATTTCTTACAGGGACTACGAAAATCAGCATGAACGCAGATGTGAGTATTATGTAATCAAATTAAATATAAGCATTTGTAATTTAGTCACCGTGTAAGATTATTAAAATTCTCTTAAATGTTTACTGGAATACCATCAAGTATTCATTTGTTTCTGCATTTTGAGCTACCGTATTCCTCTGAAAATAGCCATCCTTTTTGCTTATTTTCGGGTATTCAGTAAAATCTTTATAAAAAAATTTTTTTTTTGCCCTTTACTGTACATAAAATCGATCATAATAATCAAGTGATCGTCTCTTGTGATTTCTCTTGTCATGCCACCTTTGCATCAATGTTTCGACCTAAACCTGATTTTGCAGATCATTTGCAGATCAAATTGGGCGAAACTAGTTTCGGAGGGTTTCGGACTTATAGGGCGAAACGTTTCGTACTTTGGGGGAGGTTTAGGCCGAAACACTGCTTTGCATCACCTTTGTTATCTCTCATGACCGCGAACTTGCCAGAAATTGATTATTATTACACCCTTAACGTTAATTTAAAATATTTGCAGCAATAAATAATCAAACTTTTTAAATTCTAAATTCATCCAGATCCCAAATCCGTTCCAAATTTTAAATTAGTTTCTAATTCCGAAAGCATTTTAGCATTATAATTTTATTACATTACAATTTTTTCAATATCACACGTGACCCCGTTAAAATCAACTTCGTTAATTTCAACCTAAGCAAAAACCAAATTTTTATGAATTTTTATATATCAAACTAGCCAGTGTTTTTTTCCAAGTACCCACGGGAATGAAAGTTATTTATTAATTAAGTTAATGTAAATCTAAATATAAAATTTACATATATTAAAGCCCTTACCCGGGTTAGTTTAATCCGTACAAGTCAGCTTCTTGGTGGGTCACGGGGTTATACGGGTCATAGATAACATGGATAAAATTCAGTGATCCAGTATTTCTGACGTAGAAAATAGATAAATTCACAAGGTTGAGAAATTTTGGTTACCCGGCTTAAATATTTGTTACATATTAATATAACAGGTGTAATATAAAATTGTAAAGTTCTATAAGCTCTACTCTTAAACCCTTTGGAGTAATTTATATTCATATTGATGAATTTGTAGAATTTGATAAATAGAAAAACCCATGAGCCATAACTCTGGTCAGATCATTTGTTCAGCTTTGAAGTCAAATAATTTCAAACCAGGCCCAATGATCTGCAAATTTGACCAGAGTTACGGCTTATGGGTTTTTCTATTTATCAAATTTCACAAATCCGCCGATATGTGATCTGGATAATGTTTAAATAAAAGCTAGTGTTAATTTAAAATCTCCACGATTTTCTGTATGACCCGTTAATGACCTGAGCCAACATAGGACTCTATTTTCTGACCCATGTAATAGCTCAAATTGAGTGGTAAATGAAAAATGACTTGTTAAAATCTGATTGTGCAAATGCGGATTAAATTTTATTCAATAGGGGGTTTTAGAAGTAACTTTTTTTAAAAATAAAAGATCCTATTTTCTTTTTTAGAATTCTAAATCAGAAAATTAATAGGCGTAGTGGTAGGTAGTGATAAAATTAGCTTTTTTTTGATAAATATTCACCGGTAAACAATTGTACACATGAATTAATAAGTTTTTTATAATCTACATTTTCGATATCTTCAGGTTCTTGTATTAAGTTGATGGTACATACTGTATCTTTAAGAATTTGTACGTACATCTTTTCTGAAATAAATATGTCACTTTATTTATTCCAAACCCATCACCAGTAAATTATAATTTTAAACCCAGAAGTTTGTTTTGATGATGTTACGTGCTTTGTTTTCTTTGTTTTGATGGGTTATATATTTTTTTAAACCCAAAGTAGATTTTGCTGATCGAAATGGTAACTTACTTGGGCGCTCTCAAGCGTTATTCCGATGTGATTAGCAAGTGATCGCAATGGCACTCAAGCAAAATTATATTTACATAAAATTTTTATTGAGAATTCGAATGATATAATTGAAATTTTCTCAAGCATCATCTTCGATGTGATTAATTAGTGATCGTAATGGAGCTCACTTAATAGAATTAATTGAAATAAACATTGCAATCAATATTTGAGCGGTCCTTTTATTATTCGTCAGAAAAAAATAAAAAAAAATTAAAAATAAAAAACGAAAAATAAAAAAAAAACAAAACTAAGGGTGCTCTCAAGCGCCTTAATCAATAGATCGGTGTATAAATTTTCATTAATAAAAAATATCTCAGCTGGTCAAAA